ACAAGCCTGTATAATACAAGACGTTCTGGAAAGATAATGTTATTTTTTTGGAAAATGTGTTTAAAAATTTTTTGTTATTATTGGTCAAGGGTTACATGTTTTCATGTTACATATAAAACATGAAACGAAGGGATATCTACACTGGTAGTGATAAAAGTACTATGTATAAAGGGACAGCTATGCTTGAGAAATTATTTATCCTTCTTTTTTCTATAACTAAATAAGTCAGGCTCTTAGCGTGGTAGTCACTGGAGTATTTTTGAGACCAGAAAGAACCTTTGCAGAAGGAGAGTTTCTACCTTCACCAAAATGAAGCCAGATTGCTGGCAATGAAAATTAAGAGGGTTCTGTGGGATTATTTAAGGTAACAGATGTGGAATAAAAGCTGCAAGTGTTATAGTGTATCTGCAGTAAGTGATTAAAAGACTTTCAGATTTCAGAAGAATACATGGTCGTATGCATGCACTGTTATTACAGAATTATATAGTGTATTGGTTATTACTGACTTGGGAAAAGGCAAGAGGAGGGCAGGATGATGCAATAAAACAGGATGGCATGCACTGTCTCTAATAAACGTACCTATAAACATGCCAACATGAGAAGTTTAAAAGGAAACTCTGGAATCAGGAAGCAATTTATTCATGATCAACATGACTAAACCAGGGTAAGATAACTTCCAACTGGTATTAGAGTAGCTATGACTAGTTCCATAAAAATAGCTGGAAAATATTGTAGCAATTTCTAGTAGGCAGAGTCTGAAAAATACATTCTATACATACAATATTTTTAATTCGACAGAACTATGAAAAAAATATGTTGCTATTTTCATAAGTATAAACCCATTAACAATAAAATACAACTGTCATAACAGAAAGATTGTCACTATACTGCAGCTCAGAAGCTATGTGCAGAATCTTTGAAAATTAACTATAATATTTCTTACAACAATTTTTCTAAAACCATTCAAAACAATTCTATTTTGACCTCTCCTGTCCTGAGTAATACATAGAGGTACAAAGGTGATTGCGTCATTCATTAAGCGGCCATAATATAATCAAGTCCAAAATCATTTCCAAGGGCATCTCATACCAGGAAGGCACCTAAAGATTCATCTATTACTGCAAACTGGATGGTGGGAGCGAATTACAATTTATGCATGTCTCAAATGTTCATATAAGGATGCCTAAATAATTCCAAAAAGTAGTGTTGCCATTTGTCATTTGTCAGACATCTGTTAGAAATTTCTAGATATGCCTAATACACAATAGAGCAAACAGCCTAATAAATAATATTGATAGACTCATCAGATCGCTATTTACATAACTAATAAGAGGCACACAAGACGTTATCCTGTGAGCTCAATTTTGCACTGGAAACTGCCTCTTGAAAAATCTAATGAGAATTTGCATGCTAAAAATATGTAAATATAGAAATAACAAAAAAGAAAAGACTGTCTCTTTTGAAAAAATGGGCAAAAATATTTAAAACTAAATACAATTAAAAGCTTCATCATTCACTCACTAAAAAGGAATTATTATGTATCTATGAACACATAAAGGGGAATTCAATAAAAGTGTCTCTTCAAGTACTGAAAGTAAACTTTAAAAATGTAATTCCAAAATAAATCTACAAATATCAAAATATATCTATAACAAGAAGAGATATAAGAAGCCAAGGATAAAAATAATTTTATCCATTCTTCCTTTACAGTGCCTTTTACTTCAGGAGAGAACTTTAGTTTAGCTCTTCATTGATTCACACCAGGAATATTAAAATTAGTCCCCTAAATAGTTTTCCTTGTTTCAACCACATTTATTTTCTCATTTCCTGTTCAGAAACCTTTACTAGTTCTCCACAAAAAATAACCCAAAAAACAAAAAACAAAACAAACAAAATAAAACTCCTTCGCCTACCATATATTTGGCAACAATTTATGTTTCCAAACATAGCACTCCTAATCCTCATTCAGAGAGACCAACCCTTCCCCACCCCAACCCCAGACCCAATCACACTAACAATTTCTTCCAAAATAAAACTCCTTCGCCTACCATATATTTGGCAACAATTTATGTTTCCAAACATAGCACTCCTAATCCTTATTCAGAGAGACCAACCCTTCCCCACCCCAACCCCAGACCCAATCACACTAACAATTTCTTCCTGCTTTTCCTCATAATCTTAGTTTTCCTGAAGTCTCCTCTCATTGCCCTTATGCTTATATATACACCAGAATCCTACCCTCAAAGCCAGGTCACCCACAACACATTCCTCAGTCAGCCGGCCCAGAGTTCACGTTGCTGAAATTACTTGCAAAGCCCTTTGTATACACCGTCTCCTACACACTACTTATTCTAGTATATAATTTACCACTTCCACTCTACTGCAAAACTTAATAATATTCTTATACCATTTTTTTTATATTCTAGCCCCCAATTACAATGGCCAGAGTAGTATCTTTTCAATGCAGGTACTCAGCTAGCATCTGCTGAATCAAAGACACCTAATAACAATTACACATGAAAATTAAAAGTTAACTATTCACAAATAATATAAGGACAATTTGAACCAAACAAGATTTTTAAGAAGCTAATTTTTTTTCTTTAAAATTTCTGAGGCTTTAGAATCCAAGATGGCTGGATTTCTAAGTTGTTTTTTTCCAACAGAAAAATAAGGAGCTGGCCCTGAATGTCATGCTTTTCCAATGTGCTCCCAGAGTACACTCTCACTCCGTGACAATTCACTGCAATTGCCTGTTCACTTGTCTGTCTATACTAGTAACTCCTTGAAAGCAGACAGCATGCGTTCCATTTCCAATCTCTATGTATGAGCAGCCCACGTAGTAGGAACTCAATGATTGACCTGGCACCATGACTATCTAAAGTAAACACAGTTAAAGAGTAACCTTTACTAGATATATAAATATTAAGTAAACTTAATTTATGACTGTGCAATTTCAAATGAGACATATGGCCAAAATCCTAAGAACTACATTTACATCAGTATTAACCACAAAAATGAATATGCAAACTTCAAGAGAAATCCTATGTGGACATATGTGTGTGCATACAAGTGATTTTTATACAGCATAAGACATTTCAAGAAGAAAGTACAATTTTGGAGAGGAAACAGGAGATAGAGATTTTTCTTTTTTCTTTTTTTGCATTTCACTCTTCCATATTGCTTTTTATTTTTTTCCTTTTTTAACTGTGGAGCATGTAACTTTCAAATCAACTCCTAGCCCCCCCAACACACACACATTCACACAAGGAGTAGTCTAATTGCAGTTAAAACATTTTTAAAAATGAACAGTCTACTATTAGAGTGAACTAATAGAAATCATAGATGTTAAAAGAAAACATTGACTACATACGGTGAAGTTTTGGAGGTCCAATGGGGAGATTTTGTTTTTGTGGCTTAATTTCTATATAACAATGGACAAACTCTTTCTTAACAGTCTACTATTAGAGTGAACTAATAGAAATCATAGATGTTAAAAGAAAACATTGACTACATACGGTGAAGTTTTGGAGGTTCAATGGGGAGATTTTGTTTTTGTGGCTTAATTTCTATATAACAATGGACAAACTCTTTCTTAACTTAGTATTTTCTAATTTAAATTCTTCTTTCATCTATGTGATCAACATTCCTATATATTTAAGGAGAGAACTACCCTGAGGCATAATCCATCTTTCCAAGTAGTAAAAAGAGACAGTAAAACTCTCTTCCCAAGGTTCAAGAGAGTAATAAGAAAAGCTTCTCATTAGATGTTCAATAAAAAGAAGCAGCTCTCCCGCCACCATGACTCCGACCGAAATACACTTTATACTTCATAACACAAATTGTAAACTAAAAAACATCTAGGCATCACACATCTACTCGCCTCCCTTTTGTCAGAATGAAGAAATCTGGTCTTCTCATCTTCACATACCAAGCCCCCAAAATAATCTAGCAAATAGTAGCTTTTTGATGACCATTGGCCTGATGAACGACATTTCCTCAAATAGGACACACTTGTAGATATCAACAGAATAATAATTGCCACTTTTACTTTAAAAAATATGATAAAAACATAAAAGATAAATACCACCTTGATAAATAAATGATTCAGAAACCAGTTTGGTTTTATACTAGCCCAGGAATCATCTCTGAGTTACTCTAGTGAGCTGCAGGAAGTTAGATACGGTACTCTTGAAAGCAAAGGATGAAGGTGAGGTGGCCACAGGACATGAGGAGTTACTAGCTTATTACTTCCTTCAGGTCAGGAAGGTTGTATACACACCTTGATAGCAACTAGTTTCTGTATCTCAGTAACTGATCAGAAAAATAATTTTTTTCCTTCCAAGAACCAGGACTCGTATGTTTACCTTGCAGTATGAATATTTCTGGAATACCTCCTTTGGGTCTCATCACTTACCACCTGGCAAAGACAAGAGAGTTGCTTTTCCTATCATTCCTGCCACATGAAAGGCCCTCTCTACTTCATTCCTCCTCATAAATAGTTAATCTGTGCTCAAGTCTCATGGTGAAATGCATCCTTGATCCTGTGTCTCCACCTCTTAATTTTCTTCTTTATCAGTTCCTGTCCTAAGATTCAATTTTTTACATCAAGCTTTTGTTTTCTATATTTTGGTATGCTGGCTACATCTTTCTGGTTAATCATTGCGGGGAAAATTTTTTAGGATCGGTCTCCTGGAAATAATCGAACTCCTTAAAAGAAGTTATCGTTCTGACGACAACTAGACTCTCGTGGCCTTTATATAAATGCAGTAAACCACAAAATCATTTCAAATTTTTATTAGCACAGTTATTTTAAAGAAAGAAAAGGAGGGGGAGAGTAGTTTTAGAAAACTTTCCAGATTTATAAAGTACTACATTTATTAAAACCAGATAATTAATTCCAAACAGTTTTAATACTTCCTCAACTTTGAAATTAAACAGTCACCAAAAAAAAAAAAAAAAAGAAAGAAAGAAAGAAAGTTACAGAAGAGCAATGCGCTTACCTGAGGGTATGGTGAGGTTCTGGCTTTTGACTTTGAGCTGGAGAGCCTAGTCTTGGCCCCCTTCCTGCTGTCAGTCATGGTGGGGGTGGAGCTGCTGGCATAGGAGAAGGCTGGTTTGGAGGCTGAGATCTGATCCAGGGAGAGCTGCAGCCCTTTGTATTCTGTGTCTCTGCAGGGTAGGAGAACAAAGCCCTTAATCAGCCACTACAGGTAATGAATTCATGTATTCTCTCATCAGGCATGGCAATAATCTGTGTTTAAAAAGGAAGCAAGCAAAAGTAAGACATATAACTGGTTTCCACGAACACCTGGGTTATTCTAGAAATGCCTAACATTTAACTAACGTGTGTGAGTGTAGCTGCCGCGTATAGCACAGTCAAATTATATGATATGCTCATGAAAAAGTCTTGACTTAAAAATGTGTTTTTCATCATCTTTGTTAGTTAAGTAGAAAATAAACCCATAATTCAACTTCTCTGGGCTTCTCTGTCCTCATTGTTGAGATAGGAATTATAAAACCTATTCCAAAGATTTCCTATGTGGGGTGAACTCGGCAGACAACCAGCCAGCTGATCCTATCTGATTATTGGCAAGAAGAGTGTCTTCTATCAGCAGTTCCAAGGTCATCATCCTGGTAAACATTCTAAATATTTTTATAGCTAGCTAACTAGTATAACCAGGCATGTAAGTAGTTAAAAATCCCTTTTCACAGGCTAACTAATTCAGTTACCTTAGGGTACATTTAACCACCAGTTCTTTCCATTCATTCTTACATTCAATAAATATTTATCGAGCTCTTAATATACACCAGAGTTTGAGCTATCTGAAGATGAAAGAATAAATAACCCCTGCTCTTGCAAAGATTATAATCTACTTGGAAATAGAAACAGTAAGCAAATAAACATGCATAATAACTGCAGACTGTGATATAAAGGGGATAAAAAGTTTATCTTAGGTAGTTCATTACAAAGGTATTGCTAGAGATATTTAGGGGCTGAAGATGAGTCTTGGCCCTGCCCACAGGTACAACCTCAACCCCCTTTCAGGCAGCAGTGGATCTCATCTGACTCCTCAGTTTTCATAACAGGATGTCAACCCTTCCCACTGGCAGCCAAAATAGAATGTTTCAGAGAGTCTTTTTTATAAAGACTCCTGGGAGAATTTTTTCTCAGGTTCCAGAACTAGCTGGGCTGCTCCTGAGTAACTGATTTCTTTTTATCTCACAAACACTGTGAATCATGTAACTCATCATGTAACTTTGCACTAACAGTCAAAGGGCCCTGAGCCCCGAGTCTGATCTGTAATCACCCCTAGCAAATGTACAAAGTCTTCATGGCAGGCATTTTGTGCAACCAACTCCACTGGCTTCCTTTATTTTTCTTCTGTTATTTTTCCTTCCCTGTAATTCTGTAATAGGCTCACCATCTTAAAAGTTTTACATGCACGTTTAATATTCCTTGGATTAACACAGGTATATAAAACAATAAATTAATGAAATTATATATGTAAAAGTGATTGGCACATGCTATGGATCAGCAAATAAGTGTCTATCTTCTTTTCCTTTTCCCTATTAGTTCTTCTATAACCAGATTAGGCAAGAGCAAAAGTATAATTCAGTACTTGAAAATTGCTAAGAGAGTAGATTTTAAGTGTTCTCACCACACACAAAAAATAAAATAAGTATGTGAGGAAATTTCACAATGTATATATACATCAAAATATCATGTGGTACACCAAAAATTTATACAAAGTTTGCTTTTCAATTAAAAAGGGTGAAAAAGTATAATTCAGGCAAGTAGCCCCTCAAGTGAATAGGAATAGAAACCAACTAAAGCAGTTCCAATAATATCACTGCTACAAACTACAGTGTAGTCACATATATCAGCAAATTACAATGGCTTTGTATCAAATAATCCATCTACTCAATACAAGTACATATATACATCAAAATATCATGTGGTACACCAAAAATTTATACAAATTTTGCTTTTCAATTAAAAAGGGTGAAAAAGTATAGTTCAGGCAAGTAGCCCCTCAAGTGAATAGGAATAGAAACCAACTAAAGCAGTTCCAATAATATCACTGCTACAAACTACAGTGTAATCACATATATCAGCAAATTACAATGGCTTTGTATCAAATAATCCATCTACTCAATACAAGTAAAAAAAGAAATTCTTCTACATGAGCAGCAAAAATTTAGAAAGTGGGCATGAAGTTTGTCTTGCAGGCTTGGGAAGTCTAATCACATCACTGATCTGCTTTACTGCTCTAATCAACTCCTTAGGACAACACAGATTCTGAGTATTCCTCAGTCAGAAATGGAATGCCCTCCAAAATGTGGCACTGACCTATTTTTCCGACAATATTTCATAATGTTCTTTCATCGTCTCCTCCCTTCATCCAAATAGTTCTCCCCAAACTGACCTTAAACTTTCTTGACTCTCTTTCTCCCCCAACACATACCTATAAAACTCCTCTTACAAAGAATCATCTTAAATCTCACTCGCCTCTATGAAGTTCTTCCTGATTGCTAAAGGCATTCATTCATTCAATACATATTTAGTGTCTCTTCTATGTGGAGCCTTGTTCTAGGGACTGGACAGACACCAATGAACAGAAGGACTAAGTCTCTACCCCTCAGGAAGAAGACACCAGGGCCAGTTCCTAAGGGAAATGGGGAGGGGACCAGAAACTATCTTCTTCCTCCTCTAACTTTATATTTCAAGTGATTATGTCTTGTATTTTCCAGTGGAGTCTAAGTTTCTAGAAGACAAGAGTCAAGAGATGTTTTGCTGAATCCCAATGGCCACTTGCACAGTATTTCATATAGGTGGATGAAGAAGAAGATAACAAGGACACAACCAGCAAAGAATTGTTTGCTCCCATGAGTCCTGATAATCTGTAACCCAACAGCTTTCTGTGGGAAAAGACCGCAATGGGCTGTGAGTCCCCTGACCCACCTGCCCTTAGACAACAGTGAGCCAAGCAAACTGGACTCTGACAGGAGGTGGAACCTCACCTGTGTCAAATGTACTGCACAGCAAAGCATCCATCCAGTCCCTGCCCAACAGGACCTAGACTGACAGTGAAAATCATGCACCCCTGAAATGTGGCCAAATAACTTTGGAAACCCATTCGTAATGCAACATCTCAGCCCAGGGATTTCATGGCTATCGAAAAGGAATCAGCAAGGATTTATTTTTCTTTTGCACACTTTCAGGCCCCCTAAGATATGCATCTCAACTATTGAAAAAGTCTTTCCAAAATTCTTGTATAGCTTTCAATGACAGAAATACTCCAAATTAAATAGACTTAAATAAAATTTTAAAACCAATAAATGGTTTAAAATTCTATGTATTCACATGAAAACTCTAACAAATATAAGAAGAGTTATCCAAATACTCTTGATAAACTGAAATATTAACATTGTGGTACACATCAAAAAACTTAAAAGTAATCAACCAAAATTTAGCAGTAGACCATAAAGTAAGGTAGATCAGGGTTTAAGCCAACCTCTGCCTCCTGCAGAGTAACAACCCACCTACATCCCAGTTTCCTCTTTGTAACTCATATGGATGTGGTGACATTTAGATGAAATATATAGAAAAACTCATAGCACAATGCCCAGAACACAGTAAATGCTCAATAAATAGTATTATTTCTTAACTTTCAAACTCTGTGGCACTTTTTGGCATCTGATCTTCCCAGAACAATAGTTTCACTTTGGTAGTGATTATAATACATTTCATTATAAGCACCTCCTTAGGTCGTATTTCTTTCCTTTCTACCCAAACTCATTTTAATTTGCTCTGTTACTTTTTAGCCTCTAAACTCTATTGCAAGATAGCCAAAATACTTATTAATAAGTTCCTTATTGCTAAGTCAACAAATGGGGACCTTAGAGCAACACGCTCACTCAGAGGAATTTGGTTTTCCAGTTTCTCTGTCCAAAACTCCTACAGCTCAAAAGATGTGTTAGAATAAAAAGCACAGTAAAACATACCCACTTAAAGACATTTAAAGTACGGTTGATGTGCTGCCAAACGCAGCTCCGAATGGCAGATTCACTAAGAACAAAGCATTTGTTTTACTTTTAGAATTCCATAAAAACGAGCATTTCATTTCTATAGCTTAAAGGGCTAGATGCTGATGGGAATCACATTATGAGTTCCATTTACCTCCTTCAAACCCAGACACAAAGAAGAGTCTGGCCCTACTTCTGTCCCTTCCCTTTGGTGAGGCACATTCTGGTATCACACATGTCCTCAACGTTACATGTATGCTTAGTAGAAAGCCATTTATTTAATATTTCCTGTTGAGTGGAACAAAATAAAATACACAGCTGCACAGAACTTAGACTCTAAATTGAGTATGGTGAGGGACTTGATTTAGCTGGTTTTAATAAATGAAGGACATAGCACCACTCTACTTCTAAAGCTCTCTCAAGAAGTGCACATACACCCTGTTTGGACGAAGGACATAGCACCACTCTACTTCTAAAGCTCTCTCAAGAAGTGCACATACACCCTGTTTGGGCTCCATAGGTAACTCACTCAGTGGCAGCTCATACTGTTCTCCCAGACATGATTGGCATATCGAAAGGGGAACTATGGCATATGCCATTGGGCATATTCCTCAAAAGACTATTGAGAACAATTTACTCCATAGGTAACTCACTCAGTGGCAGCTCATACTGTTCTCCCAGACATGATTGGCATATTGAAAGGGGAACTATGGCATATGCCATTGGGCATATTCCTCAAAAGACTATTGAGAACAATTTACATTTTTCTCCCTTTAATGATTTGTATGAGAGCTGCAGATATCCTCAGGTACCTCAGCTCTGAAAGCAATGTGAAATGGGTAATTTGCAATCACTAGAACCTGCAGCTTGTCAATTTCACCCATATTTGCACAGACCAAAGTAATCCTCTTATTCCATTATGGACAGTCAGAAATCATTCAATTTGCAGAATTAACCATCTGAGTCTACTTTAAACTTTATAATAGTCATGTGCATATTTGGAATAACTCGAATTCCAATAGAGAAAATGGGGCCATTTTTGCATCATTGGCCTACTTCTGCCTTCCCTTAAGCAATACACCATGAACCTCATAAGGTAAATGTCAGCTTGCCATATGGGAAGCTCAGTGTGATACCCTTGC